AAAATGGGGGAAAAAAAATGTTCCTGTTTTGTGTTGGTTGTTTGTAAATGCTTGTTTTTGGTACTTCAAGATTGTTTTTGTGTATTGGACACACACATATATATAGTATGTATTCTTTATTAATAACCATTGCTTTTGATTATATAATTATACACTTGGATACGAAGACTTGGTTTCTCTTCATTTTCTTTCCACTTTCCATCACAATCATTGAATTTATTTTTAAATGGTTGAAATCTAATTTTAATTTTATGAAACATTAGATCCCAACTATCTAAAATGAATTCAATGGTTGAGATGAAAAGTAGAGAAAAAATAGAAAGGAGAAAAATGGAAGGAAGCCAGTCTGCAGATGTGAACGATGATTGCTACAACAAGCCAGGAGCTTGAGAGTTCTCTTGGCTCTCAGATGGACACTAATGTGAAGGTTAGACACATCTTGACGGATAAAATTGAAGTTCGAATGCTTACCAAAAAAAGGAAGTTGTAATGTTTACCAAAAAAAAAAAGAAAAAAAAAAAGGAAAGTACAATATTTACCAAAAACAAAATTGGAGTTGGAGTATTTTGTCTTGATTCAAGCAATTAGTACTTTCTTAATGAAAAAGAAACAACTTAATCACAAGATTCTGACTTCTGTATGTGAATCTCAAAGCCCTTGCTCGAGTGAAAACAAAAACATGGACACACAACACAAGGCGGTATCTTCTACTTGTTCAAGCATTAGACGCAACAGCGCCGGGTAGTTCCAAGGAGACCCAGCGAATAATCTATGAATAACTGGCCATATCATATCTAATATATAAATCAACGAGATGAAATATATGAATGATTTAATATCAGAAAGAAAAGATGGCAAAATTGAGAAAGACAATAGATAGTCAAACCTATCAACCTAGTATAAAGGAACTCCAGATATTATGCCATTACAGGGCAAAGATTCCACTCTCACATGCTTCTGCCAACCTACAGCTCCTCTTCTTGGGCATCATCCGAACTTTGAAGATGGCTTAGCTTAACCCTTGCCTTTTTTGGCTGTGGGGAGACTTCTCTCGCACCATCTTCATCACCCTTCCTCTTAATTCCATCATTGTTTTCTTCGTCAACGACAGGACCAGGAGATTCTGCACCAGAATGATCTTCAGGTCCAGACGTGGACGGTTTCAAATCACCACCTTCGGCTTTCTCTTTCTTGCTTGATTCTCCATTCTTGCCCAGCCTTTCACGTTCCTCCAGAAACGAACGGATTTCTTCGGTGGCAGCAAGATCCAAAGGGGTCTTTCCAACCCTTGTCTTGGAACCAAGGTTTGCCCTTTCTTCACCAAATACTTGACAAGTTCAAGATGGGACCCTTGGGCGGCATAATGAAGCGCGGTCATGCCTTTGCGAGTGGATGCTTTGACAGAGGCCCCAGCTGAAAGTAGGGCCCGTACAATGTCTAAATGTCCCTTTTGTGCAGCGAAGTGTAATGCTCCCATGTCATCCATGGCAGCAGCACCAACATCAGCCTTGTTCTTGCAGAGATAGTTGACAACCTCTGCTTGCCCAGACCATGCTGCTAAATGAAGTCTACGTTCCAAAGTTTCTTGTCAAGGAAACCAGATAGTAACACATGAAATCTACAATAAGATCCCAAAATAACAAGAAAACCACATCTTACCCAGCTTATTATATTTACGTCATTATTACTATGCATGCCCAGCATAAAAGGATGAAATGCAGGGAAACACTCACAAGCCATATCAATAGGAACAAAGGGAATATTTATTATTTTATTTATTTATTTTTCTACAAAAGGATATATGATTTTAACAATAAATATCATCGCACAATGGGGGTGAAACTTCTGCAGGAACAAAAATGCATGCCTACATCACTTTTTTATACCAGAAAATTTTAAATTCTCAATTCCACGTTGAAGTCTCCTCAACCAAAAACTTTGCTTTTCCAATCTATTAGGCATGCAGGAATACATCATCCGTTTATGTCTCCAGGCTGGCCAATGAGCGCCATTTTGAAATGCTGATATCAGTAGAGATTAGTTCCAAAAAACTGTAGACACAGCAGAAGAACAAGAAAAGAACAGGAAAAGGTGGAGATAAACTAAGTTCATCGATCTACAGTGCTGAACTAGAAAATGCTTATTCAGGACTAGTGTGTTGTAATTTCAAATATAACTGCTTTCCTTACATTAAACTTGCTAAGAGCTTCAGGTTAACTATGCTTCTGCACCCCTTGTATTCTCTCACCACAGCCCTTCTTAAAATCCAACATTTTCAGGTGACACTACCACACATATTCTGGTTTGCTTTCTTTAGAAAAAAAGAATTGCATGCTTCATTATAAGCAAATTATTCTAATCAGTAATTACTAAGCTTTGTCCAAAACCAAAGCACAGCATCAGTCTCCAGAGGGGGTTGCTTTCGTGATCAGGATCCAATATGAACACTGTTCATACTTACAGTAAGAACTTTATAATCATCATTAAGTTACCATGAAACAGGAAAGAATTCGGATTTCAAGTCTGCAGAGAAATAAAAGCAGATGGGAGACACCAACAGGCGACAAGACCAATTTTACACTCGGTAACCAACATCGATAATCAAGATAAACAGATAAATCTTGATAGAAGCTGCTCCGTATTATGTTTTTAATTTTAAGACGGATTTAAGACAACAATGTTTTAAACATACCACCAAATCGAAAGGTTTTCCAGATATACCGATGCCAAGGTTTTTTATGCTGCCGGCTGAAACCAACACCGGCACAGACAATAACCCCCTTTAAACATTACGCTTAGCTTTTCACTGCAACCGAGCAATTTTTTTAAGGTAATCTTAGGGTTCCAAACAGTCGACCAAAAAAAAAAGGCAGGTAGAGAAGTAAAATGATGATGATAAAAGGAAGGATACGGTGTTCGAGAGTGCCTATCTCTGGAATTGACAGCCAAAGGGTTTATCCTCAAAATTGACTGAACAGCGTTGAGGTCACCGGATCTTGCGGAGGCATGAAGGTCGTCGCCTGCCCTCGTGTTCTGCGGATTACCCATCTCCCTTCTCACAGCCTCTTGCCACTCAAGAAGGATGAAACTGTTTGCCTCAGTCACAAATTCACCTCCCTTTGTTTTCAAAAACAAGATTCAACTCTTCCCATCTCCCTCTCTTTCCAGCTTCTAACACAAATCCTCTTCCCTCTGCCTTTCACTTCCAGTTTTCACTCTTTTTCTTTTGGAGCCAAAAACCGAAAATATACATTTTATCTCATTTCATGTTACACAATTTTTATTCTTCACCCTCGAGATGCTTAATATTATTAGTTTTATTTAGTTTGTTGATAATTTAAATTACCCCTTACGATAAATAATTGTTAGAAAAAAGGCATTGATCTTTTCTTGCCAACAGAAAAAATAATGAATCAATCCTTATAGCCTATTCTTTTCAAAACAAATTTCTATACTTTAGAATACCACGTATTAGTCTTATATAATTATCTTAAATAGCTTAGTGTTAATGTTTTATTTTAAAAAAAAATCAAATAATTCATCCCTTGCTCCTTTTAAGTAGGGTGTTCAACTTATTGGCCAAGGTTTAATTTGATCATGAATTTAAAAATTTAATAAATTAAAGGAAAAGTTGGTAAAAAAGATCTAGTTGAAAAATTGTACCTAAGGGTCAAGTTGAATTCAAAAACCAAACTAAATATTTTATTCATTAAATAATATGAACAAATGATCAAAATACCCCTTTGTTTAAACAAACAAAATTGAAAAAAAAAGTTGTTTATTCAACAAATGCACTCTAAGCTAGAAACTTTGAACCTTAAACTAGAAGCCTTACATTAAAGTCAAAAGTCTTACACCTCAAGTCAGAAGTCTTGCACCTTCAACCAAAAGCCTTGCATCTTGAGCCAAAAACTTTACACCCAAGTTTTAATTTTTATTATCATGGGTGCAAGGCTTTGATTTGGGTGCAAGGCTTTTAAGTTGGGGTGCAAGTAGCTAGGAGTTCAAGTCTTTTTGACTTGGGATGCAAGGCTTTTGACTTTAGGGGTAAAGCTTATAGCTCGATGCAAGGCTTCTAGCTTCAATGTAAAGCTTGTGGTTTCAATGCAAGGCTTTTGATTTAAAGTGTAAGGCTTGTGGCTTGAGGTGCAAAACTTCTTATTTGGAATACAAGGCTTTTAGCTTGGGGCATATGTATTGAATAAGCAGCTTTTTTTTTATTCAATTTCATTTGTTTAAATGAAGGAATATTTTGGTCATTTGATCATATATTTTAATGAATAAAATATTTAGTTTGGTCCTTGAATTTAATTTGATCCTTAAGCACAATTTCTTTTTTAAGTAGGTCCTTTTTCTCAGTTTTTCCTCAACCAAATGAATTATATTTATATATAATAAAAAAATATATTATTATTCTTATTTTTCTTTTCTTTTTTGTCATACTCATGTTTTCTAATTTATGATTATTTTTTCAAACAAAAAAATTTATTAATTTTTAATATATTATCATTTTTTTTCTCTTCTTTTTGTTATAATCATGTTTTCAAATTTATGATTATTTTTCAGACAAAAAATTACTTTTTTTTTAGTATAAACTATCCGATATCTCAGGTTCATTACTCGTCCCAATCTAATCCAAACCTCATGTGAAGAGATCTTAGAATGATAGCGTGGTACCTATGGAATGCCTCTTTGAGGTCACGTTAATTATTACGTCCGTCACTCCCTAGAGTTTGAACCTTCACCCTAAAAAATATTGATAGTAGCTCTTGCTAACTTTACCAAGCGCGCAATGGTTATTACTATTTTTATTTGTAGTTGAAAATGCAAGTAATTTTCATTTGGGACTCAAGAACTCATGGGCTAAAGAAACGGGAAAGCTTGGTTGAACTTCACCAAAAAACTATGCTACACTTGGGCTAAGCCCAGAACACGTTAACCTCACTGTGAAGCCTAAGTGAAGGATTTCATTCAGATGCTAATTTGTAATCAACCATATATATACTACTCTGCCAACACACACACACACACACACACACACACACATTCATATTACAATTTTGATAACAGTTGAGACACATGAAAGCCAATAAGATTGAAACAAAACTATCCACTCAACCTTCAAATGCAATCACTCAATAAAAAGTACTGTAACTTCATAACTTTATTTTCTATGGCATTCTAAACACACTTGTTTACATGTTTCTAATTACAACCGCTTCCATTTTTACATTGAAAAATGTGAGCAAAAACCACCTGTGATGAAGCTGATGGAATCAAAATCTTCCATTGTACAGTTGTTGCATTCAAGAAATGCTGTGAAATGACCAATACTGTTCTCACTCCATTATGCCATCTTGGTTGGAGCATCTCCCTATGTATTTGCAACTTAACTTCACAAAAAAACTGAAGTCTTTTGAACAAGGATAAAGTTTAGTTCATTAAAGAATGACTGTTCTCCTGATCGTCAAAATCTGGGAGCTCAGAATTCATTGAGAACCTCAGCCATCCATTTTTCTCTGCAAGTTTGAGAAAAGGCTGCAGTACAAGGCCAATGAACACAGCAATGAGGCTTATGACCAAGATTTTGAGAGAGGACAAAACTAACACAATACCAATCGTTATTGTCGGAGGTATACATAAAAGAATTGCTCCAGTTGTTCCCCCTGGTATCTTGTAAGGCCGAGATGCATTGGGGCGTCTGATCCTTAACAATATGAATGCTATAAACTCCAAAATCATTCCAAAGCAGTACAAGAAGTTTTCAGCTGCTACAATCTCGTCAAAGCTCAGCCATGACAGTAAAAGTACGCCTGAGGCTGAGAAAAGTATTCCTATAAGTGGGGTTCCATGTTGAGACCTCTTGCTAAAGCACTCAGGCAACATTCCCCTCTCAGCCATCCCTAAAAGTTGAAAGGAATCGCTGCTCATTTCAGCAACAAACATCCCCATGTTTGACACTGCAGCAGCTGCCTGAAGCCAATAACTCAGCCAAACTCCTCCAATGATCTTGGCAATATCAGAGAAGTATCCATCAGTCCACAATGAACGCTTGAGAGGAACCGCACCAGTGCCAATTAGAAGTGGGAAAAAGTATCCTAAAACTACTAGGATCAAAGCATAGAATAAAGCCTTTGGAAGAGTTCTCTTTGGGTTCTCCACTTCTCCAGCAAGAGTACTAATGGAATCCCAGTAGTTGAGATTCCAAAATAGAGTATTCAGGTACAAATTCCAATCCATATCATTCAAATCCGCCACCAACCATCTTGAAGGTTTCAGGTCTGGAATTGCCATAAAGCCCATAACCACAAAAGGAAGGAGTGAGAAAACCCCTAAAAGAATAGCAATCCATCCCACAATGGTTAAACCCCTATAATTCAAAAATGTGAGAACTATTGTCAATCCCCAGGCCGCAGCAATTCTTGGAAAGCCACTGGCTAAAACAGGGATATCCGATTTCAGATAGTCAAGAAAGAGAACTGGGTATAGGGCATTATCAATTACCCCACTGAGCCACTTCATCCAGCCTTGCTGGAACCCCCAATAGGGACCCAACGCGGAAGAAACCCAAACCACATAACCGCTGTTTTCTGGGAACATGGTACCCATTTCTGCAGTAATTAAAGCTTCTGGGACACTCCATATGAATGGGAAAACCAAGAAGCCAAGGAGGGCCAACAGAGGACCTGCGGCTTGCACTGTATCCTCGATGCCAAAAGGGCCCCCAGAAACTTCATAGAAGATGATGAATATGAGAGGAAGAACGGAAACTTTCTTCAAGTTATTTACCCTGGGGGAGGGTAACCCATCAACGGTGACGTAGTCATCCCTATCGTACCGCCTCATTTCAATATTGCGCCGTCTGTTTGGTGCAGTCCTAAGCTTCTGCACCCACAAGATGGTTTTCAAAATTAGCAAGCATCGAACAGAAAATACTTGCGCCACCAGTTAATCAACAAGTTATGTAAGCAATATAAGAAATGTTTTTTCAATTAAAAGGTAATCGCTGTTGGCGGCAGGTAGGAAACTGAGAGCTGCTTAAGTCGTGTCAGAGGATACTATTCTTAAAAATACCGCCAATTTTCCAAGATTAAACAAGTATATCCTGCAAACGCAAGGAAACAAAACAGCAAACACTAGCAAACTCAGATGAAGCACAAAACGGAACATAATCAAAGGAGGCTCTCCTCCTCCAATGCCTCTTGAACTCATGCACAGGGAGACAAATTGGTTGTTTTCAAATGCATTTGCATCGAATTGGCCTATTTCGTACACACGAACTCACTTCTCTTCCCAACTCATTTTATTAGCTCATTTCGTTTCTTAATATTTATATCTTAGGAGAACTCTTTATTTAGGCAATGTGAGACTTCTTTTGACACACACTCAATTACTACAACAATTTAGTAAAATTTAAAAGTTCATGTCATCCATTCAGTTACCAGAAAGAAGAGGTCCGTCTAAGCGAGCGTATGAAAATAAATCTTGGAATGCAAAGACGGTCTTTCCACGGTTTTGCCGAAGGATAACATTTTAGATTGCATAGGAGCAATCAAACAAATATAGAAGGCGTGCAGATTTTGGGGAGGGATCTTCTGGGTTGACGAAAGAGAAATATAATAAATCATGGCAACAGAAATCAGAAGCGAAAAGCTCAACAAATACAAAAATAAGTAAATGAAACGGAAACGGAAAAAAGGACCGAAAGAAGAGAGACCGTGATATATACCAATCCCTTTTAAGATGAGCGCAAATACCTTCCATTGTGGAAAATGACCCCGATACGTGATATGGAATCAGATAAATGAAGAGATTAAATGCAATGGAGAAGAATATAGAGCTACTCTTTCCATTGTATCTCTGACATCCCGTTTCAGTCATGTGAAGACAGGGAGAAAGCACCTGGTAGGTGAACAAGAGGCTGTGGAATGAAAGGTAAGATGTGCAAAAGGACCGAAATACCCCTTCATCTCAAAAATGATCCACGGCCAATGCATCGAAATAGTTAGGTAGACGTCCGCCGTCGGCAAAGCTAGCGGCGGAGGCATCGAAGGAATGTGGACGGAACGGATTCATAACACAGGACAGACGAGGTTCGAAAGCTCTGTTTTGTTCGGAAGAGGAAGCCCCGGTCCAAATCCACCCAGCCTTACCGGATATTACCGTCGCCGCTGGAATCGTTCAACGCGCAGGGAAGAAGCTCTGCCGTGGACAATGTCAACTCCTGAACTGGATCCCTGCTTCGTTGATCAATAGCACAAATGGCCTTCATCGATTTTGAATCTGCCTAGCTATCCCCCAATTTTCATGTGTTCATTCTGATTTTTCAACCTAATAATATCTACAAGGGTGTAATAGACTTGTGATTCTAGTTTTATTCAAATAAACTAAATACTGAACAGAATTCAAATTCAATTTGAATATGAGTGACTCACATGTCTTGTGATCCGTGTCATTTGGATTATCTTCAAGACATTCTCAAGTTCTGATCTATATCATAATCTATTAACCCTTCTCATCATATATGGAATGTAACACACTCGTAATCACAAGAAGAAAGGTTGACAGAGAGAACTAGAGAAGGTGTAATGAAGGAGTTAAGACTTAACAGTATTGGTGAATTAGTCAGTCACGTTAACAAAATATACCAATATCATGTTGGGTGACGTAACACTGCAAATCGAGAATCTGAAGCAATGAAAAAAATATTAAATTATGATCGGCCATTAAATTATGAAAAAAAAAACGCAAAATTAAAAAGTAAAATAGCCACGAAAAAGGTTTTGAAAATGCCATGCCGTGTAATTCGATCACCAAATATGAAATAAATAAGTTAGTTAATATCAAATAAAATTTACTGCTTGGTTTCGATGCTCATTGCAATAATGTGATCTGGACTATCTAAAATTGATTTTAATGGTTTCAATTTAAAATTTTTAATAAATAATTTTTTGTATAAAAATTATTTTTTACATTATTATAAAATTAACTTTATTTAAAATTATATATATTAAAATGATAATTTATTAAAAATATAAAAAATAAGATTTTATCAAACCTGGCGGTGCAAATTATGATGAGCACAAAAAATGCACCCCTGAATAATATTATAATTTGCAAGGAACTGCGTGTCCTATTATACTATTTTGCAGTATAATTTAAATTTAACAAAAAAATTATAAAAAAAAAATCCCCACACAATAAAGTGTCTCCTTGAGGTGTGATATTGCAAGTTTGACCTTTATGTCGTAAGAGCCGTGGGTGCATGAACTTCTCCCAAACTCTATTAGAAGAAATATTGCAAGTAGAATAAAAAATATTTTCTGGCCAAAAAGCAGAAAAGATAAGATTTTTAAAAATAAAAAAAAAGAAGAAGAAGAAGAGAGGAAACGGAAGCAATTCTTCGGCGAAAATGGCGTAGAAGGTAACTTAACTGCCGGACGATATAAACAGAAGATCTAGAGAGAGTACGAGAGAGACTGAGAGGCGGGACGAAAGATGGCGGAAGCTAATCTCTAGGCTATTAGAATCAACCTCGAGTGGCGCCTGACTGCTATTCGCAGCCGGAGGAGATTGGTTCGCCGCAACTATCAGGTTGTCAGCGCCGTTTCCGGCGGCGGTTCCTTCTCCTGGAGATCTGGCAACCTCTTCGATGGCCATGGAGCAGCTTGCAAACCCAGGAGGAGAAGGAGCAATATGGGGAATAAATCAGCTTCCAACCTCCATGGCGTCACAATCATGCATTTATGATCCCACGAATATTATATTTATATCTGCATACCGGGCCCCACATCATGACTTCATGCGCTCAACATTTACTAACTCAAGGCTCAAGCTATAGTTGTCCACTTTAATTAAAAAAAAAAAAACCATAGTGTATTTTTTATTTTTAAATTTTATATTAAATTTTAATTTATTTTTTTAATTTTATAAAATATTCTGTTAATCTTGTAATTCTTATAATGTCGGTTTAAATAATATTTTTCAAATCAATTATTATTATTTTAAATTAATATATTAATATTTAATCATATTTAAAAGTTAATGAATAAACCATTCCCGACTCCATTAAAAACCGTGGCTCGAGGTGATCACTGTGGCGCCGCTAGCTAAATATTAGCGTTTTAAAAGTTAGACCAATCACTAAATTAAATTAACTACTAATGCACAGTTTATTAGTTCAAATTGAATGGTAATTGACATTAAATTGATATATTTTTAATTTATAAATTATAATTAAATAAAAAATATATAAATATTTATGTTTTTAAAAAATATTAATAAATGCTTGATAAAATGATATATTATTGGTGAATATATAATTAATATTAATTATTTTTGGCCATTTTTTGTTTTAATTAATTTTTTAAAATTTTAATTAATTCAAACTGATTTTTAAGGAAATCGGTTATATTTTCAACCAATTATTTCAATTTTTGACTGATTTTGAGGAGTTAATCAAACCGGATTAAGGATCAATTTCTGATTTGACTGATTGAATTGATCAATTCTATGTGAATTTTAAAACACTGCTAAACATTTTAATCAATGTATCAATATATCAATTTTTTTTAAATTCTTTTGACCGCCTAATTATCAGGTTGACTGATAGATATCAATATTTACACCGACAACAATCACTTTAAGATACTATTGAATAGGATGTTTATTTTTACGTACCCACTAATTAACGGAGAGCCCTTGTCCTTTAGAACATGTTGAAGAAAATCCTGCTCGATCATGTCGTCCATCTTATTCATGTCCAGCTAACTAATAAACTTTCACCCTGTTGACTTCTAAATTATAGAAAGTATAGATATAGATATGTGATTATAAACCTTTTTATATATATAAAAACTAATTATAAACTTTTTTTTTTCCATATTTTTCGGCTGGCACGGCTTTCATAAGTAGTTAAAGACCACGTCAGTGTTCCCGGGTGTTTACGTTTGAAATACACAAAGTAATCGGGGTTCGAGTCATTCTTGTTCTTCACGGGACGAGCATTTCGAGATTTATAAAATGTTTCATTGAATATTTTAAAGGCAACATAAAATATTTATTTTATAGTAAATCATATCGTTTGCAAATCATGCATAATGCTCATGATTTTTTATTTGAATAAATCAATCAAGCTTTATATAATGGATAAGAAAATTTGTCTAGTTATGCTTTTATAAATAAAAAACACTATCATTGACATTATTGGAGTGACTTATTGGAACTCACTTACTATGGACTAGATTTTATACTACTTTCAGCTGTAATATAGAATGAAGAGGGGAAAAGATTTTAGTGAGTTTAATTTATAAAAATAAGTAGGAGATTAAATTTTTTTAATATAGATAAAATGTAAACGAGATAGGTAAATAAAATTACTTACAAACTTTAAACCATATATACATATATAATTATAAAAATTACTCAATACCTTGAATTTTAAATCAAGTAAAGTTTTAAAAATGTTTTATATGTTGTATTTGAATATCTCAATTCATATGAACAAGTAAAAAATGTATGCGTACCTGAAGAATCCATGAACGCTTAAGAAATCTTGATTATCTTGAGTGTAGACAGATGCACAACCCATTAAGCCCCAGAGTCTTCAGAGAGTGCAGAGATAATGAAGTAGTAGAAAATGAGTCGTGTGTTTGCAGTTATCAATTGATCGACTTATAAGGATCAGATTGGTAACCGCCTTATTATATAATTAAAATAATTATATTACGTTATCTCTTACTCAGTTAGTTAAGAGATAGGGAATAACTGATAGGTATTGAGTTATGGGTTGGGCCTCTACCCATTGGGCTCACTTGTATTGTCCACTTATCATGGCCCACACAAGATCATAAAGACCAATCTGTTTGGTCTTATTAATTAATGTTAATTCATAAATAATATTCCAACAATCTTTTACTCGGATTGCATTAATTAAGCAAGTTGTATAAACAAGACGCAAACAAAATTTGAAAAATAAAACTCCACAAAATCACTGAATCCTATAAGAAAACAAGTGATATAATGTCTTATAATTTGAACAAAATACGAAATTTTATTTCAAACACAGTTCAGTAAGATAACAACATAAATTACTGATTCCTATGGAGAAACAAGTGACATACATAGCGTACCACAATAGAATCATTGAATCCTATGAGGATACAAATGATATAGACACATCTAATTGAACTGAACATAACTCACAGAAGAAAACAAAAGCCTAAAGAGAAATTGCAACATAAAAGATTCTCAAACTCCCACTAAACCAAGGCATCAAAGGAATTCACAATACCCATACAAGTTATATGATTTTGAAAAACTTCTATAGGTAAGCCCTTGGTCAGCGGATCTATAAGCATCTGCATGCCAGGAATGTATACTACACGGGTTTAAAACTCAACAATTTTCTCGTTTACAAACATAAGTTTGATATCAAAATACTTTGTACGATTGAAATTTTTGTGATTGTTACCATAGTATACTGCAGATTTGTTATCACAGTAAATGGTTAGAGGACGTGATATTGACTTAACTAGGCGCATGTCAGATATCAACTTCCTCAGCATGTAGCGTGACATGTAGTCTTAAAACAAGCAATATACTCAATTTTCATAGATGAAACTGCTGTAAGTGTCTATTTCACACTTTTTCAAGAAACAGCTCCTCCAAATAGCATGAAAATGTAACCGATCGTGGATTTACGATCATCCAAACAAGAGGCAAAATTTGAATTGAAAAGCCAACAATTTTAAGATCTTTTAATCCTTTAAAGTCATGATCAGAATACCCAACAACCTCAAAAGAATTTGACCTTTTGTAAATCAACATATAATTCTTCGTACCTTGAAGATACCTCACAACTTTCTTAGCAGCCTTCCAATGACCCGGACCTAGATCGTTTAAGTATCAACCTAACACTTTAATGGGAAAGGCTATATTTGGTCGAGTATACACTTGAACATACATAAGGCTGCCAACAGCGAAAGTGTATGGTATCTTTCTCATTTCAGCCCTCTTCTTATCATCCTTAGGACACTGTAACTTTGACAATAGCTCACCTTTTTGTACAGGAGCAGGTGAGGGAGAACATGAATCCATTCTTAATTTCTTAAGTACCCACTCAACATAGGTGGTCTATGATAAACCAATAATACCATGAGATCTATCACGATAAATCTGTATCCCAAGAACGAAGGAGGCTTTACCCATGTCCTTTATATCAAAATGGCAAGATAATAGGTGTTTTATCTCATTGAGAAAATTCATTGAATTGCTAGCTAACAAGATATCATCAACATAGAGAACAAGAATGAAAAAATTGT